AGCTGGGATTACAGGCATGTGCCACCACGCCTGGCTAATGTTTCATTTTTAGTAGAGACAGGGTTTCACCATGTTGGCCAGGCTGGTCTCAAACTCCTGACCTCAGGTGATCTACCCTATCTACCCACCACTGCCTACCAAAGTGTTGGGATTACAGGCATGAGCCACAGTGCCCGGCCTATTCCGCCATTATTTCTTCATGTACTTTATCCTGTCCTCTTCTCTCAAGACTACAATGACAAGAATGTTAGATCTTTTGTTATAGACCTACAAGTCCCTGAGACTCTGTATGTTATTTTTTTCCTGGTTGTCCAGATTGTGTACTTTCTATCATTCTATAGTCCAGTTAACTAATTCTCTCCTTTCAGCCTCATGTTTTGCTCTTGAGGCCCTCCAGCAAGCTTTTTGTTTCAATTATTGTATTCTTCACTTCCAAGATTTCCATTTGGTTCTTTAAAAGAAAAAATAAAGTTTCCGCTATTTCTTTGCTGAGACTTTCTACTTTTTTTCTTTTGTTTCTGCACATTCCTATTTGCCCATTTTAACACTTTTATGATGGCTGCTTTTTAAAAGATTCTTGCCAGATAATTCTACCATCTCTGTCATATCAGTGTTGTCACCTATTTTCTTTTTTCATTGAGTTTGGGATTTTCCTGCTTCTTGGTATGACATATTTTTAATACAGAAGCCTGAAAATTTGGATATCATGTTATAAGACTCCAAATCTTATATAAACCTCTTATTTCAGTAAGCTTTCTGTGACATAGCTCCAGTGGAAGAAGAGAAAGCACCACCTCATCACTGCCAGGTGGTAACAGAAGTCCAAGAGAGATTCTTTGTTACCACTTGACATGTATGAAAATCTGGGCACTCCCTGATGGAGAAAAGGACTGCCTCATTATGGCCACCATGTAACCTACAATAGCACCATGGAAGGGGGATGTGGACATCTGTTATTACTGGTGATGGTGAAAGCCCAGACTCTACTGGCCTTTTTGAACACAATGCCAGTCAGGAGGAGGAAGAATACCTCATTACTGCCATCTGTGGGTAGAAATCCAGACTACCCACTTTGCTTTTTGATGGTGTGGATAGGGATAGGGCCACAGATCTTTTTCCGCGATATTTAACAGACACAGAGTAGTTATTGTCAATGTTTTCTGTCTTGCTTGCTGTCATTTTTGTGGTCCTTTGGTTTAAGAGAGAGGCTTTTGTTGGGACTTCTTCTGTGCCCCCTGTCATTTCTGGGTTGCTGACTTCTTCACCTCCAAATCTGACTAAAAGGCAGAAAGACAACCCAGCAAACTCACTGCCAAATTGTTCCTTAAGTCCCAAGGTTACGAGCCTATCTTCTTATATCAGTTTCACATATAATGTCCAATATTTCTAGTTGTGCTTAGCAAAAGAAACAGGAAAAAATAGATTTAGTCTATCCTTCAAACACAAGTCTGAAATATCCACTGTTAAGAGTGTGAGAACAGGCAGAAGTTCCCACCAAGAAAATTTTAAAAAGGCAGTGACAGTGGTAAGAGGAGAACCAAGTAAATCTGACAAAACAAATCCAAAGGAAAGAGAAAGTTTCAAAAGAGAGAAGAGTCAAGAGTCAAGTGCTGAAATAAGGTCAAATAAAATAAGAGATAAAAAGAACTAGAAATAAATGAATTCAAGAGCAGTTTATAAATAATTCTGTGGAAGTGAAATCCTGATTGCAAAACAATTAAAGGAGAAAGGGGGTAGTAAGAACAAAGAAAAAAACATAATTTGGGACTAAAGAGTTGATGGAAGAAATTTGAAGGACAACTGACATGAGAACAATAAAAAAATACTGTGTGTGCAGTAACCGCTATTACAAAAATAAGCAGAGAATATCAGAGGAGCAATGAAGATGGCTACCTAACTTAGCTAGGTCCTAGGAACAAAACCCAACTTAAAGAAAAAACTATACCTACAATCTTGAAGTGGAATGATGCTCATATATCTTAAGTTTTAAAAGCAGAAATGGTATACAGCATTTTATATCATACAAAAATGTTTTTGTTCACATATAAGAAATGTATATACATATGTGTAGCTACACAAACACATTCTTAATTATCTTCCACCTAGTCAGCTAATTCAAGGCCTGCATTCTACTTTCTTATATATCCCTACACACTGCTCCCACCAGAACCAGTTGGGTTTCTCTTCAAATCCATTCTTGACAGTTGTACTTACTACTGTATTTAATTAACATGATACAAACAGGTTACACGTAATTGGGAAAGAGGTACTTCTATGAAAACTAAGCCTAATGTTTTGGAAAGCTGAAAATACATTACTTTTTTAAACTGCAATAAAAGTAAATGTGGGCACAACAATATATTAAAGGGAAATCATAGTACCAAAAAGATTTGTTTTTTGAGACGGATCTCGCATTGTGACCCAGGCTGTAGTGTAGTGGCATGATCTCAGCTCACTGCAATCTCTGTCTCCTGGGTTCAAGCAATTCTCCTGGCTCAGCCTCCCGAGTAGCTGGGACTACAGGTGTGCGCCACCACGCACAGCTAATTTTTATTTTTTTGTATTTGTTTATATCTGAGACCTATAATTTTTTTCCATTCTGAAAAACTGAGACATGATTTTTTTCAAACTTTGCTTCTA